GTAATATTTTTGTATAGAATGTAAACAAAAATTATTCTATTATCTCTAGGGGTGGTTCTTTAGAAGAAACTATCACTGAATGAAATCCTGCTTTTCAAAAATTTTATATTAATTTTAAACTGATTTTTTTTTATTTGGCACAATTTAAATAAAATTATAATTTTCCTACGCCAATACTATTTACTAATTACCATATTTCTAATTATAATTATCGATCAAATGTCTTACAATAATTTTCCAATTTTGGACAGTTTCTATCCCTCCGTTCACTTTTTGTGCTCCTGTTTCGATTTTTCTATACCTATTTCTACTTCAATCCTCGTACTGACTGCTATGCTCCACACTTGCTACCATCTATCGGCTCCTCTATATTACATCTGGTACTCGGTTTGATCTTGGGTATCTGGTCTTCCACAGAAGACTATCCTCTGGGAAATATTGAAATATTAATGTTTTTTTCAACTCCTGTTAATGTATCAATTTCTGTTTTCTTTATTTATTTCGGAATCTTTTTATTATTTAAATTCTCCTTTCTTAGTATTCTCTCAACTTTATGATTCTAATTCTCCTTCCTTCAAATTTTCGAAAGTCAACTAACTCCCTTTTTTTTTCTTTTTTTGTCTCCTAGTAACCGCACTTCTGTTTTTACATTTTAATTTTTCATTGCTCACTATTTTCTTTACTTAATACTATTTTACAATACTTTCACATTAAAAAAATCAATTCAATTTTATCATTACATTTTAATTTTATGACAACAAACAAATAATAAGACAAAAAGTTACGTAGGAAATAAATTTTAGGGGTTGCGTTTTCCACCCCTTGGGGGTGGGGTAAACCAAATAAAAGCGACTTCTGTCAGATATTTCCTTCTTTCAATTATACCCCTTTCTCATATGCAATTTTTAATACATTAATATTCTGTTTTAAAAAAAAATTCACATCACATTTCCATACATCTCAATATATTTTTTATACTAAATGTTCTTGATGGTTTCAACTATCAAAAAGTAGGAAATCATCTAAACGAAATATTTTGTAATCGCCGGATTGACAGAATGGGCCTATTCGTTATCCCGACCTCAACCCGGTGGACTTTTACTTCTGGAAGTATATGAAAAAATTTTCTTCCAAGTTCCAATGCCAAATGAATAACATTTACAAGAAAAAATTGTCGAAGGCACAGAACACTTCGGACTTAGACCACAGATTATTCAGCACACTCGGTTGTCTCTCATTCAAAAAGAGCAATTTGTAAAGATGGTCGATTACTTTCAATATTTTCAGACTTCAATTATGCGTTTAGTTATATCATCATTAGTTAAATATGTTTTATTATTCGTTCTTGCACTCATAGTCATTATTTATTATTTTTGTTATTCCTTTCAAATTTTCCCAATGTTTTCAGTACGTTTACATGTATAATTCCTAAAAATTGTTAAGTAATATAAGATAATATTACACACATCCTTTGTTAATACTTGTATTTTAAAACATACTGTTCCTTAAGAATTCCTAATTCTAGACCTAGTCTGACTGAAATTTTGGCATGTTTTTAAAAAGATATTGTACCAAAGTTTGTACACTTGTAGCAAGACTTTTGCGCAATGACAATATTTTCTTGCAGGTAATGGAGGATTCTACTTCACAAGTACACTAATAAAATGTCACAAACATGTGTCATGATATGCTTTATTTTTGTGATAAAAGGTATTCAAAGTGTGGTTTATTTCATGTTAAAGTTTTCAGTTCAGAGAAATTGTGCAAATAATAGATATTTAATTCCACGACAACATGATGATGTTCTGATTCTTCTAGGAGCGATCTAACATTTCGCTTATCTCTAAAATGTTACTTTAAAAAATGTGGGAGCAAAAATTATTATCTCTAATGACACATGGAATGACACATAAACGCTTGTGTGCATCTCAAAATTGAAGCTGCAGTCCTAATTTGGATGAAATAGCTTTAGTCATTATTGGCAATTTAACAAGAAAATCAAAATAAGTTCAATCTTAACAAACTATTTTTTCTATTGATTTGTCAAATAGAATTGGGTATTACAGTTTGGGCAAACATTTGAATTACACCTTGTATATTTTTATCTATACACATAAATGTTCGATCTTGTTACTTTATTGAAACCATACGTAGAAATGGTTTCATATTAATAAATACAGGCTGTACGCATCTGTTATTGATCACCAAATTTGCATCATGCTGAAGCTAATGGTTTAACTAATAACTTTTTAATTTTCACCTTTAAGGGCCCGTAACTTGTTAACGAAGGCCCCTATTAAGAACTGATATTATTTTGACCTCGTCTATTTGTACTTAACTTTTTTGTATCAAGTACCGGGACACCCTGTATTTATTAATATGATGGTTTCAATAAAGTAACAAGGTCGAACATTTATGTGTATTGATAAAAATATACAATATGTAATTCATATGTTTGCCCAAACTGTAATACCGGATTCAATTTACAATTCAATAGAAAAAAAGTTTTTTAATACTGAACTTATTTTCATTTTCTTGTTAAATTACCAATAATGACTAAAGCTATTTCATTCAAATTAGGTATGCAGCTAGAGGCTGCATATAAAAATAACTTTTTAATTTTCACCTTTGAGGGCCCGTAACTTGTTAACGAAAGCCCGTATAAAAAAAATGTATATGAAGAACTGATATTATTTTGACCTCCTCTATTTGTACTTTTATCATGTACCGGGATACCCTGTGTATGAGTTACAAGTTTTGCTAGAAATGGGATAATTATTTGTTTATCAAATCAAATCAAATTTGCCTACCGAAAATAGAGCTTTTATTCGCAAGACAAAATAGGAATAAAAGAATGCTATAAAAAACGAAAAAATTAGTAATATATAACATAAAAACATCTAGGTAATGGCTTTTTTATTTTTGAAGTAAAATAACTACAACCATCAATCAAAATCTGGTATGCCATAGAGCAGATTTACATGGAACATCATGAAAATGATGTATACATCAAACTTTATTATATGAATCCTACATCTACGTCCCAATAAATTTAAGGTAACATTAAATAATTGTAGATGACATGAAACTATTTTTTAGTAAACACGTCTCATCCTCTAGAATTTTTATTCCTTTGAAGTTTGGAGTTATTTATGATTTGTGTACTGTTTGGTGGTTAGGTTAATATATTAATCATATTAATAGCTATTTAAATTGTTATGATTTATGTGTGAATTATTGTTTATGTAGGAGGGTATATACAGGGTGTTAAAAACTTGACTGCCTTAATTTTTACAGACGATATTAAAATAAATAAAAAAACTGTATATGACACGGGTCCTAAACTCAACCATTTCCGAGAAAAAAATTATCAAAATCTCCAACTTGATGTACAAATGGTTGATTAATTAAGCAATATTGACATAACTGTGTACATAAAATACTATAAAAGACAATGTTTAGCACTTTTATTAACTTCTCCATGCTTAATTCTAAAAAATTAGCGTTATAGTAAATTTAAAATTCGATAAAATTCATATCGAGCAATGTGACAACGACGCGCAACTGTCCAGCAATACGCAATTCAGTTGGTATCTGGAATTGAACCGTGTCTGAGTGTTTTTTGCGTACCACTATTTCCTTTTCTTGAGGTGTTTTCCAGCGAATGCGCGAAAATTGGATTTGAAGGTGTGCATCGAAATTGTGGTCGACATTTTGAGCATAGGTTGTAGTTTGTTTTCTACTTGTGCGTTTGAAAATTACTGAATTTTGCTTTTTAGTAAGTACCTAAACTATTTTTAATAATTATGATTATTTGGATGACTTGTTTCTTTGGGTACTTTAATTACATATTTTTCAAATTTATAATTTGATTAAAAGTTAAGTTCCTGTTTTAAGATATTCATAATTACTATAATTCGAGCTAAAATTTAAGCACAACACTATCTTCATACTACAAAATCGATACATTTAATTTTATTTATTTAAAAACTGGAAAACAATTGTCTTAAAATTTACTAAATGTTTCACAATAATAGTTGTTTACATTTTTTCCGTAGGACAAGTCTGTGGCGTTCACACGTGGTATCCATCAGCTGTGTAGCGTTAGGTTAAGAGCTGTTGTCACGTTGTGATGAAACACCCCAATATTGTATTTTGAAAACTGTTAATCTTACGCCCCTGTAATATACAACTTTTTTGTTCATTTATGATTAATCTTACACCCCGTATAGGTACTTTTAGACATGTTTCTATAAAACACACTGCTTATAACATGAAATTGATAAGTGTTCCAATAAGTAAAACAGGAAAAAACCGAAAGTTTACTTACAAACAACTTCGAAAGTTGTATACAGCTGTGGACACAAAAAAGTTTTCGACCTAAACTAGTTATGGTATAAACCCGGTTTTTAGGTCGGAAACTTTTTTCCACAGCTGTATAAATATTCTTAGATTTTCTGGTTTCAAAAGACAGTATTTTTTTTTGTAAATTTTTAGTTTCTCTCTGATATACTATGAAATGTGTTTATTTTCATTTCTAAATTAGCTACAGTATTTATTATATTCAGTGATAAAATGTGTAACAGCATAACTTTTACAATTCAATAAAACAACTGGTTATCCTTGAAAGATGTCAAAAGTGTTTTTGTTTCTAAATCACTTCGATTTGTAACGAAAAATGTATACCCATTTTCCTTTTCAAATATTTTTTCTTTTATAAACTTTGACCCAAAACGAACAGAGAGCATTTGCTCCACTTTCCATGCATTATAATCCATGAATTGAATTCCTCGCATCGAAAAAAAATACGTTTTCGTTACACCCATCGTACACTGCGGTGTATCGATTGCTTGATACGCCATTTTCCGCATACCGCCGATGTTTTCGCCCCCACTCCCCGAATGGCAGCGCCACAGCGTGGCGGACCTGCAGCGAACCATGTGCTCCATTTTATAAACAAATAGCGAGTGGCATTTCTTGTTAAATCTGCCTCTATTTACTTAAACAAATTAGTGTGACACTATGTCTTTACATGATGCGGTTTTATCGCACGATAAATGTATGATAACCGCTGCGGTTAAATGTGTTTCACTCTTCTAAATGGAAAAAACATATCTTTGTTGCGGTTCCTTAGAAATGTAAGTGTGTGCAAACTTTAATTTGCATGTGTGTTTGTTCATGTGTGTGAAGTAACGTTGTAATTACAAAAAAAAGCTAGATAAGTAAATAAATAGCATATTATCTGGTAGTTCTCGTATGTTCTACTGATCTAAACAATAGGAAATGTAAGAATGTGAAAAAAGAGTTTACTGTTGTCATAAAATGTATTCGTTTTGCTTAGTGGGTTTCAATAAAACATAACATTCTGTTTAAGTTTAGACACATTGTAATCTTTTGCATCATTTCTACGTGTACCTACCTACTTGCATGAGTAAATATGTTTCGTCAAAAAATTTTCATTTATTTCTGTTGTTATTTTATTTTGTTCATGTTTTATTATAGTCTTATTCGTTAAATATTTTGTATTAATTTTCTCCGATTATTTCGCCATATACGAAAAAAAATAAAAACTAATAAAATAAACCGAAATAAACCGTCAAAAGAATGAGTTAAGGATTATTTTTTAGAAACTAGTAGAATCTAACAGAACGCAAACAAAAAATAAAAGTCACCATATTAAGCATTTCAAAAATTTGTTAACGTTTCGAAAATCATTATTTTCATTTTCAGATATGAATGAGGTTTAGTTTTTAATTAGTTGTGGTAGTTTAAATTTATTTGTATACAGGGTGTCTCAGTTTTAATCTATGAGACTTCGAGAGCAGAGAGTACAACGAAAAATAATGGTACGTTGTCATATAAACTTATTTCGAAATATCGACCGTTTTCGAGATACAGGGTGTAAATGTAAAACAAAATTATTTAGTGTCAATATTTTCTGAAATAATAGAGGCATTTGAACTATAATATTCGGTGTATGTTATACAGGGTGTTCTCAAAGTTGAGTCACTTATTTTAACAGCTGATAGAACTCGTAAAAAAGTCGATTTAACAAAAATCGTTTATTAAAAGGTGCAGAAGAGAGTTATAAAAATCCTGTCCTACAACAATTGTTCAAAATTATTCTTCAAAAATTGTTCAAAATTGTTGCCATTTGTTTACCATTTATGTTTTTACAATGCAGTGGTCGAAAATACTAAATAGATCAGGTTTATGTTATAAAGTTTTTAAATTTCAATTTTTTTAAATAATTGTTAATAATTGCTTTACTTGGCAACTTTTATATAAACGACTTTTGGCAGTCTTTTTACCGGCTTTTAAAATAAATGACTCAACTTTGAGAACACCCTATATATGGGGCCAAGTTTCTATAAAATACTTCAATGTCGAGACTGTTGCGCAACTAGTGGTGGAGAGATGGGAAATTCATTCGACTATTTTATAAAAAGAAGTAGTACGCTCCTGTGCAAAATAATAATTGATTGTATTTTTTGAGAAGCTTGCCAATGGGAATAAAAACACCTCTTACATTTTATCGATATCTGTCTCTGTTTTACGGCAAATTGGATTTTTCTTTTTTCTTTCAAATTAGCCAGATAATGTGTCTATCGATTTTTTAAATTGTTAAATGTTAGAAATATTTCGGCTAGTTTCAATTAATTTAAATAAAAAATGAAGTAACATCCTCATTATTATTATTGATTATTACAAGAACTTCAAGAGAATAATTAATTTCCAAGTAAAAGTCAACTTATTTAGCTTTCTTATATTGTACAATATTATAAAAGCCAACAATCGCAACATTGTGAAATTATACAGGGTGTCTCTGAAAGACCTCCCGTAAATACACGTGGTTATAGTACGACAAAATATAAGATTTTTTTGTCTTATGAAGTATATGTCTATATCCTCTTGTTTTCGAGATACAGAGCGACAAAATCAAAGTCACTTCTGATTCCGTAGTTAAAAATAAAAAATTACAGTAAAAATCAACATTTGACCTTGAACTGACATTGATCATTGACCTTGAGGTCACGGTCAATGTCATATTGGGATACTGAATTTTCTTCTCTTTCCATTACCGAAGTCGAAAATGAGGGTCGCCATTAAAAAAACAACTTGATCTTGATATGATCTTAATCCTTGACCTCAAGGTCAAGGTTACCATCGGATGCGCCGTGAAAAATGTTGAGACTTTTGTTCTCGCCATTTATCCCAAAAATGCTTTCCCGCTAAGATTTTTGAGAGTTTCCATACTTTTGACTAACCCCGTATAATACAAGACATTTTATATAGGTATAGTACTTAGTAAATATGAGATAATGGGGTCATAATGCATTTTGTAAATAAAACGTCCTTAATTACAGCAGATTACATAAAAATATTTGACCTTACTTGATTATGGATAGAATCAGAAATTATTCAAACAAAAGTATTTAAAATTAAAGAGTTGTCTTTAAAAAATATTGTTGTGTCGACGTAGATGAGGTTCGCAAATTAAAACTAATAAATCAGTTTTTACGCAATAGTTGTTTCAGAATTTATTTAACTAATATGTAGATGAATAGCTATGTCAAGTCTTCAAATTTTTTGTTTATTTGCATAGTATCAGTAGAATCTGTCGTTTTTACGAAAACGGCATATCGACTTTAATGTTGCAAAGTAATAATTAAATGTTAGAAAAGGTGTGTGGTTATAAAGGCTGTACGGAACTGCAAAAATTGTAGGGGTTGTGGAACATACACAAATAAGACCATTTTTTCGTAAGGACCATGGGCCCATAGCTTTTTGTTTTCGAAATATAGGAAATATAGAAATATAGGATATATAGGACATAACTATGCCATGTTAATAGTTATCTAATTGACTGATTTTACATTTATCTAAATAATTTTGAGACTAAACTTACAAATAACCCTAGCCTTCCTCTAGTGACTCCGTGTAGCGATACGGGACGGATTAGTCGATCTCATTTAATATATCTTTATAGCTTGGAAAATCCGCCAAAGAAACCAGCTATTTCATCTATTATTTTCTTTTCTAATTACTATCAATTTAACAATTTGATTTAATTCTACTTTGGAACCTCTACGCTCTTCTCGTGGTTTCGCACGTTATTAAAAATATCGATTTTTCTCTATACCTGCTCAACACATGGCCCCGACTCTAAGTGAACTTGTTCAAAAAATATTGCTAAATTTCTCCGAAGGACGACTCTAAACGTACTTGAGAGCCCTTAACTTTCGATAATTTGTGTTGACTGAAATATTTTACTTTTTGGCCCATCCGTTCCGAGAACTAATAAATAAATTACCACGCGTCCCGGCTTTTGTTACAGTTGATTTAAATTAGTTTATTTCATTTCGTCCAATAAGCTACCCTTGAAATATCACCAATTCGTTTTCAGACACTTTGTATGTTAAGGGCAGAAGCTGGTTGACTTTGATACAGTCAAAATATATTTATTTAAGAAATACCTGCATTCTTAGTGACTTTAAGTACATTTTTTTTGTTTAAAAATTAAATTATTCATTTTAAGACATATACTATAAAAAATGTAACTTAAAAAAGTTTGTCCTTGAACGGATGATCAGAAACCAACAAGGTAGATGTATTAAGTATACACAAAAACTAACCTTTATCATACATTGTTTTTTGGAAAAAATACTGCTAAAACTTGATTTAAAAAAATAAGTTTTGACGCCATGAATATTAAGAACAGGACAATGATTGAAATGAAAAAATCAACTCATATTTTTTAAGTTCTGAGGATAAAGTCAATTATTATATGTATTTCCATTTTCCACTAGCCAACGCACTGTATAGGATTGGTCCACCTGAAACTACTTTTTATGTCTGAGCAAAGAATAAAGTTTAAAACAGTAACTTTTTTTATAGAATGAAAAATAATAGTTTTCCCTTTTAGTCCCCTCAACCTGTGGACACTTTTTAATATTAGTTTATCCTTTCTTTTAGGTGACGTAACCAATACACTACTTCTCAAAAATCTCTAAGATAATGCAATGACACATTTCAAAACCTACCGAATCCTTCTCTTAACATTAGTCTTCACTTGTCTCATCCTGTCCTTAGTTTTCCTGAGCTCCTCATCCAACGCCAAGTTTCCAGAACTCTCTACGGAAGGTATCAATGTGACTGAAAAATATCCAGGGGCGTTCATTCATCAGATGCATCCGAAAGCTTCAAACACAACTTACTGCAAGTTCAACTATAAGCTGCCTTTCGATTTAAACTTGAACCCGAATAAGGTTGGTTTTGGACCTGAGGAGGGAACTAACAGTTCTTATAGAGTGCTATACAATGTGATTGAAGCTAGATTAGGAGCAGGTGTGCCTGGTATCACTTATGCCACTCACGTGACTGCGGACTTTGTAAATTATATTCCAGAATTAGTAAGGTTAGTACTTCTGTATGGTTATTTTTAATATAGTCGATTTTAAAAAAACTAAAGCCTCAGGTTTCGTGGATTAATATTAATGAAGGTACGTAGAAACGTAAGAAATAGTTGGCGAATTTCATTAACAGAACAGCCGATACTTTTGACAGTAATAGGGAAGGAAAGTGCTCTATAACTCAAAGAGTAAAAGTGAAAGGCAGTTTCTGATCTCAGAATCATTCACGACATAGGATCTAAAGTAAAAAATTCATGAGAAAAAGAATTAATTGAGGTTTGATTGGTATCAACTGTTTTAAAAAAAGTAATTTGGCGTTAAAGATAATCTATTACAAATTTGGATTAGACCGGTTCCAATTAAATGTTTCTTGTGGTTCACGAGTAAAAGTCCAAAAATCATGGTTACGTGCTGATGTATGATTTTATGAACACTTTACTATTTAATGGATAATCCTTCTTACGTATACGTGCAATTATTTATACACAAGGTAAAGTAAATTTTTTTTTTCTAGTGCAAATAAAACAATAAAAAACAGTCATAAAAATAAACCCCAAGAGTTCCATACCCCACAATATTATAAAAACAAACATCGCTACAAATACGGAAATTCTAAACATTAACTTTGCATAACTTTTTTTTAGTTTTTTTAGTTTACTTTTACCTATTAGTAAAAAAATGTTGCGAAGGATAAAGTCATGTTAACTTTGTTTTTTAATTGTGCTTCGATGTGCGCAAATATGCTTAAACTTATAACAATTGCAACAGAGTATATAACATCCGTGTCAAATTTGCTTTGTATCTCGAAAATTTCCAGAATATTAACAAAACGCGAAATACAAAATTCTGTTTTAACTCCCTACATCTTCTATAGAAATCATTTTTATATCCAGGTTGTAAGAAATACCCTACACAGAGAAGATGGCGATGCTACGTTCGTTTGACAGTTTTTGACATAAAATAAATACTTTGTCTTGTTATTACTTACTATTACCATTAAAGTTGTGTGAAGATAAAAAACTAGTATAAGTTACTGACAAACCATTGATGGTTAGGATATTTGAACCCCTACCTCACAATTGTGGCGCCCAACGTGCGGCCTGGACTTATTGCTGGAACATTTATCTGAAGCAACTTGTGTGATAAAACTCAAAGTGTGTTTTGTGTGTGTCTTCTTGTGAATTCTGGAACTAATTCACCATACACACACCCCACACCCGGCTTTTTGTAAGTGAATGGACAAATTATCGGTTTCTACAGCATAAGGTTAACTTAAAACAAGTGTGTTTAACTGTAGTGCTTACTACGAGTCTATGAACTTACGTTCTGGAAGTGTCCTACCTGACTCCAAAGTTAATTCGAAAGTAAACAAGATGGCTAACGAAATTCGACAAGTAGTTATGACGCCGGAAATGTTGCAGAATCTTATCGCTTCGTTTAACCAAAATACTAACATTGCCACGCCAACAATAAATTATGGAAATTTTTCGAAATGCACAAATCGTTTCGACGGAATGTGTAAAGAAGATGTTCATGCATTTATAGATTCCATTACGGTGTAATGGAATTACTGTCTGCAAATTAGTGATGAAAATGCTTTGAAAGATTTTCCGATGCTTTTAGAAGGCAAAGCTGCCATTTGATGGCAAGGAGTTAAAAAGACAACAGCTACTTTCGATGATGCAATCAAAGCGCTAAGACATGCATTTGGGTATTCAAAACCTGCTCATCAAGTCTATCGTGAGTTATTCTCTAGAGAAAGAGAGGACGAGAAAACTGATCTTTTTGTGAGCCCATGCAGAGCCTTATTGTCTCATCTCCCCAGTAGTCCTATTCTCCCCGAATCAATCCAGATGGATATGGTATATGGATTACTTCATCTAAAAATTCGTGAAAGAATCTCACGCGATGATATACCAAACTTTGAAGCAATAATCAAGAAAGCACGTAAAGTAGAAATTACGTTGCAAGAAATTAAAACGACCACAGTTTTTACTCAAGTTAAACCTACAGGAAAAGGTTTTACAGATCAACAAAAACTAAAACAAAGGAAACAGTGTGCTTATTGTAAGGCTTATGGTCATATCAAAGAAGAGTGTCGCAAATTGAGTCAAATAAAGACAGAAACACCTTTATTTGCTCCGTCCACAAGTAGTACTGTAGATAACACTTCAAGTAATACTACCAGGCCTCAAGTAACATGTTTCTCTTGTGGAGCAGTCGGTTACGTACGAAGTAACTGTCCAATTTGCAAAAGTACGAAAAGTGAAACACCAGAATCGTCTGACTTTCGATACTATGGCATTTCAGATAAAGAAATAGGCCCACCTTTGGTTCCTATAGAAATTAACGGTTTACATGGTTCTGCAATTCTGGACATAGGAGCTAGAGCAAGCATCGCTAGTACACAACTTGCACTATTACTATTACATAAGAATATACCTTATGAGACCAAGTCTCTTCGGATAACTTTGGCAGATGGCATTGAAAGGATCGTAATGGCACAGGTCTTCAATTTAATAATAACCATCAAACATAAGTCTATTCCAACGCAACTTATTGCGGTTCCTGATCATCAGCAAACTTCACAAAGTGATAGCCGAACGTTGCTAGGAGTTGACTTCTTACAACAAGCGAATATTGTTGTAGATATGCCCAAATAATTGCTGCCATTTTGGTGATTATCTTACTGTCTCTTATCCTTTCCTGAAAGAAATCCGTCCCTATCAATCTGATAATATAATCAATATGGTTTCCTTAAGAGAAAACGAAGGTTCCTCTCTGACAAATTCAGTAATACTTGAAATGAATACATTTTTACAGAAATATGAGGATGTATTCCAATCAGGCTCCGAAGCTACTCCGTTTGCGGAACATTGCATTGTCCTCACAGATGACGTACCAATATCTATGCCACCCTATTGACTCTCCGAACCAAAAAAGGAAATATTACGCAAGAAGCTTGACAAATTATTAAATGATGGCACTATAAAAGAATGTGATTCTCCGGATGCTGCTCCAGTCGTCGTTGTACCTAAGAAAGATGGAAGTACCCGCCTCTGTGTCAACTATCGTCGATTAAATGCAGTAACTAGAGATCAGAATTACCAGATTGGCCTTCTTTTCTGGGACACCTTGTATATATTGTAAAAATAAACTTTTGAAAATTTCGACTTGTGTGTGTTTTTCAGCTAAATCTAACAACTGGATGTCAATGTTTATTTAAAAATGTGTGTAATGTTGGGACACATGTTAGTTTTTATTTTTTGACTATATAAATTTGCGTGAGCTTATTATATTTTCGTAAAAAGGTTTATTATCTTCAGGGATCTATTAAAATAGGGGATATATCTCAATAGCTAAAATCGGCAAATTTCTTGCATGGAAATGTATTCTGTTACTGATATTATTTTAAATTAAAGAATTTAAAAAAATTCTCATCCAGTTTTGAAGGGAAAATATTTATTTTAATTTATGTCAGTAACTTAAAGTGTTTTAGAAGAAGACAATGAATGATAAATATCTCAAATTAACAAATTTTTATATTAAGTTCAATTTGGCCAATAAGTGACTCAAGGTATTTAAATAACTATTGAATTGGATGGACAGTGCCGATAACTGCAATTTTAAAAACTACTGAAACAGTATATAGAACTATTATAAAAAAATTTCATCTAAACGCTTTGTTTCCTTTGATGTTATAAACACTTTTATTTATAATCTATTCGGAGACTAAATATTTGGATTTTCCAGTATCCTTCTACTTTTGCTCCTGATTCTAATATTTCCTACATTGCGTAACATGTTTGATAAGAAACTCATCGTATTGGCTATATTAGATTTATCGATAAACAACTCTCGCTTAACTCGTATGTAATGGTGGATTAATTAAAATGTTCTATGATTTTTTTCTTATTACCGTAACATAAGACAACAGCTTCTCTTCGCTCCAAAAAATAAAATACTCTTGTCGGCAAGAATACCCTTTCTATGATTCCTAATAAGATTGCACAGTTTTTGAAACAAGAACATCCTGTCCTATATTTTTGCCCCACGGAGAGGTATATAAACGCCACAGATTTTATCTTATCAAATAAGCCACTGTAACATTTATACTTACCCATCTTAAGCGCTTCTTTGAATATGCTCGTTTAAGATTAAAAAGGAAATAAATAAACAGAAACAGGGATCAAAGTAGGATTATTCAATGTTTCAACTTAAAAATACAGCCTGTGATTTTATATACTTTTTATAAATATGTTATATGTATATACAGGGTGGCCAAATGAAAACGAAACAAAGCTATTTTCAGGAACTGCGTCAATATTGTAGAAAAACGCTCAGACCCGTCGATTTTAGATTAAAGGGGGACATTCTTTACTGGTATTTTAGACTCCGCCAATTTTTGACTCCGTCAATTTCACCCCCAAGCAAGGGTAAGCATCGCTGCAAAATATTTAAATGGCACTGGGGGTTAAGTAATATTTCTTTTGAAAACTCTTACAATACTCTTTACAACATACTTTAAATTTTATAATTTTATGGATATAGAGCAGAACTTGGATTTAAACAGGAAAATTTATCAAGGGAGAGGTAGATATGAAAAGAATTGCACAATCCCCTAGTAAAAAATGAAATTCCGTCACCTCCTATTGTACTTCTATTAAATTATATAAAAACATAATATTATTTTAAGAATAAAAATTTAATAATCACCGTTCAGTAACACAGACATTACAACAATCTAACAGACATAAGATTTCTTTAAAGAATATAGAAAAAGCAAGGATACCTCTTCGTTCTGATAGACTTATCATGCTCTATGATCAATAACAGTCTTTGGACAATTGAAACATTGAATAATTTCATCTCCCTCACAGTAGCTGCCTTACGAAAGATTGGAGCAAAGGATTAACAGTGGTGTCATAATTAGGAGTAGATCTTAACACTTTAAATAAAATATTTAACTTTAAAAGTGTTCCAATTTAGATTTGAATGTATCATTTCCAATCAAAACTTTAGAGCATCTCGAGTTTTTTTCATGGAAGAAGATTCATGACAAATATTACTAACAAAACTATACTAGCAGACATTTTATTCTATGGAAATATTCAATAAGCCATCAATACCTAAGACTGTATTGTTTACATCCAATAATGTAGAAATAAAATTGCCTCTTAAGGAAGCACTTTTAATCGGTCTACAACACCTCAAGGAAAATGGGGTAGTCCTAAACGTTATTGGACATTTACTCGTGAACTATATGTTCCACACAAAACGTTTAAAGTGTAAAAGGTCTGACTAGAAATATCCTATCTAAATCTGTAGCTAATATGGTAGCTAATATCCTGTAACTGGTACTGTATTGGATTTGAAGTCTATATTATGGTCCTTTAGCAATTGATAGGAAGCTCCTTCATTGCCAATCTTTGAAAGACAAAGGGATAAAAGATAAGAGATAAAGGCTAAGGATTCGTGTTAAATAAAATGTTATACTTACTTTTTTTGTTTCTTTTGATAATAGAAACCAGCTTGATTAGAACATCACGACACTTTTAAACTGTATGTATGGGGTGTTTCTCAAATGCGTGTAGCAAAATCTAGGGAAGTATTCTATGGCTAAATTTAAGGTAATTTGGTTAAATAAATGTATTAGCTTCTAACGCCGCAATTTTCGAGGGTTTCCAAAATTAAGAATTACAAGTTTTAGTTTCTACACAACTTGATATATCTTCAACAAATTGGTACCTATATATTTTGGTATATTAGTATCATGTTTTTCTCACAAATAAATTTATACCACCCCGTATAATGCTACCAAAAAAAATCAGTTATGCTTTCATAGCAGCTACATCAGATTTGTAAGTCACTCTTTGCCAGTGTTTATGCTTTGGGCCATTTGGCATTTAAGATATGACATTTTTTTCGGGTAGTATTATGGTGTATTAAAAAAATATACTAGTTAAGAAAATCAGTTTTGCTTGGAGAATTCAATAAAGTATATGACAATTATTTGTAATATTGTAATATAGTAGTGGTTTAATATCTTTTTTGCTAAAAGACGTAAGTATCTTCACCACAATCATACCAAAAGTAGTACCAAATTTTATAAAAAAATTAAAATAAATTAAATTGTCTTTTTTTATTTCGATTCCTGGATTTTTCTGCGCATACTTAGAAAATACCATGTACGTAAAATGAGAAGCTGTAAAGTTTTGAATAAATGTAATGTTCCAAGGAAATGTGAATATAATGTTATTTATCAAATCCTATCACTTGATCATATCACTTGTAGGTATTGGGATGGCCTTATAAGCGTAGCAGCGTTCGTTCCAGACACAGACGTAGCCTTAGTCTTGGAACAAATCAACCAGTACTGTTATTGTCTTCCAGGAATGTCGCGTGTCTCTCTGCACCTGGTTTATCACAAAAAGGTGCCACCGTCTCGAAGGGACGTTTACTTCGCCAGGCCTGAGAGCTGTTTCACAGAGGACTCTTCGAAATTCCAGACGCATAGGTAACTATAGTTAGTCAATGGGGTTAATTTATAGAAATTGGGGAATTTTCCACAGATATTTTGTTACATATGCCAATATAATTCGTCAATTTCTTCAACAATTAATGTAACTCTGAGCAACTTTTAACTTTTCACTCAATGTGAAAAGTTTCAAAGCCTAAAACTGATTTTATTAGAATATTTGGGCAATATAGCATTCGTCAACTGATATATACACTCCATATAATATTTTCTCTTTATTTTCTGTTAAAAATTTCCTTTAGAAAGATAATATCTTAAGCATTAGTTTTAAGTATTTAATTCACATGAATGTAAGATTATACTCACCTATTCTACATCACAGTTTTTTTATATATACAATAAAATCTCACTTAAATAGAGTAGGTACTTTTAAATATACATTTTAGGAACACGGACGAAAAAGTAGTCTACCCGATAAACGTATGTAGAAATGCAGCCAGAGCTGCATCGTTAACTGACAACGTGTTAGTGTCCGACATCCAGCTCATGCCTAGCGAGAACCTAGCGCAAAAGTTTTGGGATATGATGAACGCCTTTAAATACGCCGACTGTCCAAATAAGGTCTTCGTCATTCCAATATTTGAAGTTGAGTCAACGGTGGATATTCCCAGAACGAAAAAGGAGTTGGTGCAATTGATAAAGGAGAAAAAGGCTGTATATTTTCATAAGATGATCTGCACACATTGTCAAAGGTTTCCAGGTATTGAAGGATGGATGGAAACAGATCCTGGAGACAGCATTAAGGTAAGAAGAAAGTTGAAATCTAGAAAGGTACCGTTCAAAATTTTCCTATTCTTTTTGGGGGTGGTATTTTGAGTACCTTGGTTAACTAACCAGATGGTTATACTGTGAGTAATTTCACGTTTAATACTCATCAAGTTTATCATCCGTTAACCGACACTCAAAATAATAGTCTTTAATGAAGTAAATATCAAACACTGCATTAAACATATAAGAATATCATGTATACTATGTTTTTGTTAAATGAGAGAAAGTTTCAAAAGTACTTATAAAAGTTCAGTGTTTTAGTCTATCTCTTTCAAAACACACTTGGTCTACTTGGTAGGTACTTTTATAAACGCATTTTGTTTTGGTAATTAAATATATTTTTGTTAGCGTCGTGTTCCTCGATTCCACACTAATTTGCGAATAACTTGATAACAAAAAAATATATCGAACCCTTTTTTGCGTTGAAATGTAGCTATTTTCATGCTCTTCAAACTAACCTATAAAAAGTTTTATCCTTCTATTTCATTATTTTAAGAAAACATGAAATAACCTAAACTTGGATAAATAACGCCAATAAATAAACAACACTTTCGTTAGAAATTTCAAACTTATATTATATTCATCAATTTTTTGCGCTGAATCCATTCGAGTAAAGAAAACTATAGCAGTGCATTTAAAATTTATGAGAAAAATCCATAAAACGGTATTCTTTTAAAGTAACGCCATCTATAGGTTTCTATGTTTAGGTAAATGACATTACGCATTCACCACAAGATAAATCATGAAAAGACCTTGCCAACGAGGTATAACACTATGGGCTTTTGATGAGCCAGTCCTTAAAAAATACATTTTTCTGATCAGACATTAGATTCTCCCACCCTTTCTGTGGAGAAATAGAACAAAATGCCAATAACAAAGGTTATGCGCAAAGAATCATTCTATCCATATTTGTATTATTTAATATAGGTACCTGAATAGAAAACATTTTTGAGAAAAATTCAACTCTATGTATTGACATGTAGATTGCGCTCCCTAGTGGCCGAGCTATGAACTTGAAAACTATTTCCAGCGATTTCTCTTGGTCGATTTATTAATAAATTTTTTTTCCCGAAACTCTAGGGCCTATGCCTATACATTCTCTAATATCGTACCTCGCCGACCTTAGTGGGTCACCCTGTATAGACAACATGTAGTACATACATCTAATTTATCTGCAGCAGTTTGAGAACATGAATTATTTTCAAGAAATAGTACTTCTTTAGGGTAAATTCCTAGAGGCATTTCAATTGTCTCGCAAGCTTCAAATTGTTAATTAGCACAACACTCTGTATTTAGTATTACCTACAAATTTACTTTTTTCCCGAAAATATAAAAATGTAGGGTCACTGTTAAACAATTTTTTTTATAGCAACGCATCATACTTATTTAAAGGATCATGTAAAACTTTTACATGATCCTTTAAATTAGTCCTTTTACAGTAAAAGAGTATGGTGAAACTCTCATGGTGTTTTTGTTAACTCGTCTTGTTAAAAACATTTCCATTATATCATATTTTCTGTTCTCAGAAAAGATAACTAAGATTTGAGATACCTACGTGTACAATATTATTCACACGAGTAATTGTTTTAAGATTAGAGTAGATCTTAAAGACCTATTTATTCAGTTCATGTTCTAACTGAGAATTATAATCTGCTTTACTACAGAGTGGGCTCTCGTTGATCACATGAACTTAAAAAATCATTTTCAGCCTCTGTTGACTGCCAGAAGGGAAGTACCTTTCCATAGATGGGAACCCATTTATATCGGCACAAAAAGTGAACCGTTTTATAACGAAAAATTATCATGGGAAGGATTGCAGGATAAAATGTTACAGGTAAATGTATCTCAATTTTACGTTGAAGTTGATTTAAATTAATACAAAGATAAATCTTTTTAAAAAATCTAAGTTTGATCCTTTGGCACTAAATACCGAGCCTAGCTAAATAAGCAGCGCTCTGTACAAAATAGTAAGCAATTATCTAATAATAAAAAATATAAATACTCTGTCTTTCTCAAAAAATCTAAATTGTGAGCAATTTGGAATTTAGTTTTATTTAATTGCAAGTTCTACATTAAAACTAATTTCCACGAATATAAATTGTCTTTAGCGGAATATACAACTATCAGTTGATATGAGCTGAGAATTTATATTATATTTCTGTTGCAGATGCTCGAAATGTGCCTTATAGGATATAAATTTGTTATTTTGGATGGACCTTTCTTGGTACACTGGCCCGGCATTAAAAAAACGAAAACCAAGGATGGGGAGGCTTGGAGAGACGAATTCGTAAAGAAGAACTCTGTCGAATATCAGAAAATTCTTCAAGTTTTGTCAAAAAAATATAAACCTAACCCTCAATGCAAAGTGCAGTAGTGGGCTTATAAAAATTTAGATTCTATATTATTTATTCTACATTATTTATTATTTTATAATTAGGTGATATATAACAAGCAATTTCAGTAAGACTCTTACAAATTTTACCAGGATATGAATTAACTGTTTTGCAATAATCGAGACAGTATTATTTTACCGTCCTTATTCACGCTCATTTTTTATGAAGATATTAGTGATATCATTTGCAAGTTGTTAAACTTTATTACATATCTTACGGATATTTGTGAATGGTTAAAATCTTATCTTGTTGAAATTTGAAATTTTGAATAGAATAGCAAAATAATGAAAATATTAAAAGAAACCATGTCAAAACTTAAAACTATTGTGTATGTAAAAATAAATGCAAGACAAATAACAATGAATATTTATTTAATGGCTATAAGATGCTATCAGAGTATATAGCAATTTCTTATCCCAAAATTCCTCTTTTGCTGTAGAGAGTGAATTCAATAAGACCATTTGATGGCCAATTTTGAGAACAATTATTTCCTGGCTCTATTTAAGCAATTTAAGAAATCTAATAGAAACACTAAAATCTTAGTTGGAATGACATATCTTCTAGTAAAATAGAGAATATTTTGTAGAAATTCCATATAATTTTCTTCGTTTAGTATAACTGTTAAAATAACTAGTCCATTCAAATAATTTCCATTAATACCAGCGCATGTTGAAAATATTTTTATGAACATTAGTATCCTGAGGAAGGATAAGCTGGCAGTAGATCTATCGTTGGATTAAATTTTCAAGCAACAGCTATTGAACATTTTGTGTGTGTAAATTATACCTATACATCATATAATGGGTTCGTTCAATAGGTACCAAATATTTAATTTATAACTTGATTTTACATTTTCCGTAATCTCAAAACTAGAGGGTGTCACAAAAAGTAACGCAGGATATGAATTGAATATCATTCTGAAGAGTTGACAGCAATCTACCCTCTATTTTTTTCGCTGACTACGCGGCACAAAGGTATATGGGAGCAAAAATGTTTAAAAAATTTGTTGACCCTTTATTTCGTATCCAGTCGCGTGGGTACTTACGTACGCCAATAGATTTTTATCTATTAGTATCACGTGACTGTCCATGTTGACTGTACAGTCTTAGATACCAGTCGTGACATTATTTTGTCCAGTGCGAGGCTACTTTATTTGCACAACGGAAGAAGATAAGACAGAAATCTTTATAGACACTGTCAAAATATTTTCATGCACCCAGTATCTTTTATTTTTACGTTTTCTTTCCGTTTTTAAAATAACGTAAGCAGTAAGCGCTTCGTCGTCACTTGTATATTGAACTTGTATAGTGAACATATTCAGAAGAAAAATTGTTTTAATGAGTGTAGGTACCTACAATCGTGCTTGAAAAGAACAGCCCGATAGCAATAGATGCACTTGTTCCAGCCACCAGCCTGCACCGGACTAGCCTGGCTGCACCTGCCTCGATGAAACGCTGCCTTTACTCACGGTAGAAATATTTTCGGCTGAACGGCCAGTACCAGGCCGCCCGGCCAGCCTGTTTTTTATTGTCAGAAAGTTTAGGGGTTGGTTGCTGAGGTTAGTTATATCAGTTTTTGTTTACGTTCTATAGATTTGCCACAAATCACAAAATGACTTTAGAACCACTATAAAAACGTTGTGCATCGATACATTTTGGATACGCTAAATTCAATAAACCTTCCAAGGAATTCGAATTTGACCACCGATTATCCGTAGAAGGATCGATTTCCTCGCCTAGAAAATAAATAAATAAATAAATAAATAAATATTATTCTTTTGTTCTTAATAAGTATATTTTAAATAGGATTTAGAAGGATCTAGGATAATTTTCGAAGACTCTTGTCTAGACGTTTTTATTTTATTTAAAAATATAATAAGAGCCTAGAAAATCTTACTGCCTGCTAATGTAATTTTCACTTACAAAATTTGACAAACACATTTTACACATAACACAAAATAGAAAAACAAAACAAGAATAAGTAAGTTAAAAAAAATAATTTAAAACAAAGACTGACCTGTACGCCTTGCTAAGTATTTCTACTGAGCATAATCTTGTAATTAATCCGAATAAATCATCTGTTATGTTGTTTGGTTCAACATTGTTGTATAGTACTCCGATAAAAATTATTATAATTATCTCTACAACCGATACAAAAGGCAAAAAACCTGGGTGTTATATTCGACAATAAGTTAAAGTTCACCGATCATGTTTCTTTCATTCTGCAAAAGTCTTATCTAAAATTAAAAACGTTATACCAATGCAGACATTTATTTGATATAAAATTAAAAAAAATTACTCTGTGACTCTCTTGTTTTAAGTCATGCAAATTACTTTGACTTCGTTTATGGACCCTGCCTCTCTGTTTATGATTCTAATCGCCTGCAAAAGTTACAAAATTCGTGCTTACGCCTTATATGTGGAATAAGAAAGTTTGATAGAATTTCACATACATTAGAAAATGCCGAATGATTAAATATGTCAAATCGTAGAAAATTACATGCATTAACATTATTTCATAAAATTATAATAAAAAGAAGCCCCCTTTATCTTTGGAAGAAAATTACATATCGTACAAATATTCACAGTACAAATACCCGTCAAAAAATTGCTATAGATATTCCTAAACATAAAACTCAACTATTTAAAAACTCCTATTCATATCAGATATCAAAAGAATATATACATTCCTGTCTCCCTAAAAGACATTTCTTTAGCCTTATTTAAGAAAAATTTTTTTAAAATTATATTCAATGACCAGTGTTCAAAGTTAAGTGCATAATATTAAGTTTATATATCTAAATTTAAGTTAAGATTGTTTGTACAGGTTTGGTTGTTGTTTTTCTTAGATATTATACATAAAGGCATTGTATATTTTTTAAATGCTTCATATATACTATTTCTATTTTGGGTATCGATTGGGAAAAATTTAAAAAAAATACAAATTATTTTTCTAGGTCTTTGAGGAANCGGTGGTAGATTTAGCATGACTTCTAGTGCAGCTGTCGGGGTCGATGCCATCGCCCCCGTTATACCTAAACAGGCCAATCTCTGAATTCTATTCAGTTTTTCCCTCGCTGTGGTCTGTTGTGTTTTTGTAAGAATAAGTAAGTTAAAAAAATAATTTAAAAGAAAGAAATCTATCAAAATACATTTTCAATATGGGCACCTGCCACCTCCACACACTTCTTAAGTCTACGAATGTTATTTGTTTATACACGAAAAAGCATTTCTAGGGTAACAATTTAGGTCCATATGTTTTTGAGAAACGTTTGGTTCATGCATAATGGACTCCTCCTCATTTCAATATTGATGTACGAAATTATTTACCCATTGTGTTTAATAATAAATGCATTGGGAGATAAGGCCAACTTCATGGCCACCACGTTCTCCAGACTTTAACCCGATGGAATTCTTCCGTCGGGATACCTGAAAAGTTTAGTGTACGCAACCTCAGTACAGACAAGGGAGAAATGCTTTTTCGTGTACAAACAAATAATATTCGCAGACTTAGGAAGTGTGTGAAGGTGGAAAGTGCCCATATTGAAAATGAATTTTGATAGTTTTCTTTCTTTTAAATTATTTTTTTATCTTACTATAACTTACTCTTGCCTTGTTTTTCTACGTATTTTGTGTTATATGTAAAGTATTTTTCAAATTTTGTTAGTGAAAATTATATAAGCAGATAGCAAAATTTTCTAGGTTCTTATTTTATAAATATGTACGGTTCTAACATAGTAGTTATGTCCAATTAAATCAATCAATTGTATCAAGTACCGGGACAGACTGTATATATGTTGCCCCTAGGACCTTATTAAAATTCTATGAAATAAATTTAATCCATAAATCTGACTAGTTTCCAATTATGTGTCGTTAAGTTATAAAGTTACTCCAGAGTTATTTAAAGGGGCTTCAAAACAAACCGAAAAAAAATGTGATACAGTGCAAAATGGCTTATCAGTGCCCGTAATATTATCTGTATGACAGTTGGTGAATGTTCTAAGAAATATTTTGTAAAATTATTTATATTCTGGAAGACATTTTCCAAATAACAATTGTGGCATCAATTAACTGATACTTAAAATATTCCCAATAAGGCAGTTTTTAATTCCAAATTTAATTTCACATCACCTGAGCAGTACAGTATCTGTAAAATTTAATAGCAAAAAGCTTAAATATGTATCTTAACTTTATCCGTTGTGGAGAGTCAGTAAATAAACTTAAATATTATGCCAGCTGTAAAATTTTATAGCAATCAATTGTTTTTTTATATATTTGAAATATCGGGAACTAGAACTTTGTCTTTACCCTTATTTCCTGGGTAGAAAAGTAAAAAATAGAAAAAAGTAGATAATTTTGAAACCTGTCACGCTTTCATTTTATTTATTTATAAATCTAATTAGAATGTAGGACAAACAAAAATTAAATATTTAACTTTTGACAAATGTACAGGGTCATTCACAAAACATTTTATTTTAGTGCCCTTTTTTACCACCCTATTTAGAGAAAAAAAGTAGTAGAGATCAGTCTTATTAAAGTTGTTTATGATATCAAAGAAGTGCATAAAATCAATCGAATGTTTGGTTTCTGAGATATAAACCAAACATATATTTTTTTGTAATTTGTTGTTCCTTGAAATCCCTTGATTTTTTGATTCCAGCTATATATTATACATATCCATATCACATATTTGCCTCGACAGTTTGCACAATATTTTGATTTAATTACTGACCTCCATAATAAATATAGTCAAGATTGCTATGGAACGAGTGCGATGCATACGCTCTTCCGCTTTTGTATTTACTAAACTAACTTTAAATCTTCAGAAAAATGTCTTATTACAAAAGATGTTCGATCATTCTATGGTACACATAAGACATATTGCTCTCATTGATATTATGAACTAAATATTTTCTTCCTTAAGTCATAGAAGATTTTAGGTTGTTTACTTTATCTCAAGTAGTACCATAAAATTGCAACATTAAAAATACGTTGCTTAGAAATACATGTTATATGTTTGCTTTAATAGTTTGCATAATATTTTGATCCGGAAAGGTCATGTCAAAAACGAAAACATTAAAGTTCAAGGTGCACATATTGAACATCTTACTTTCAGTTCTCTTTTTTCTTTTAAATCTATAGAACCCAAGATTTTTACAAAAATGTTAGTATCACATTTTTGATACAATAAATGTACGTTGTTAATAAAATTCGATTTTCTCAAAAACGGTACAAGATATCGACTGATGAACGGTGTACCTTTTTTTTAATAAAGTGAGAGAGGAATCGAACCCTGAAAAATGTCAAATTTGGCAACACTGTCAAA